CATTCAGTGTCCAGGAGGCAGGCCCTCTGGGCTCACAGCTTCCTTCCATGGCTCTCTGGCCAAGCTTCCACTTTCATGACAGGGCCCTGATGTGACAGAGCCAAGGACCGGGGACCCAGTGATAGTGAGTGCCATCACACAGCAGCTCCAGAGGGGGAGCAGAGGAGCTTGGTACCCACCATGTCTCCCTTTGGCTCTGAAAGCCTAGGCTGGAATTTTGGCAAAACGTCTCCTTCAGGATCAGGGTTCCTGACTTCACTACTTTGAACTCAACTTGCTCATTCCCACCGAGGGGCCTCTCTATTTACTTTTCCTTCTACCTGGATCCCTCTTTCTCCAGATGCGCACATGGCTCAATACAAGTTCTTTAGGCCCCAGCTCAAATGTCTTCTGTTCAGACACCTTTTCAGACCTTCATCTAAACTACAATAGCTTGTAAGCACTATGGCATTACTATTTTATTTTTCAGATCGCATTTTTCACTACCTGAAATTATGTTTTGTGTTTATTTCTCCATTAACTTATCTTGTCCTCTCACCAGACTGCATTTTCAATGGAAGGAGGGACTTCATCTGTCTTGTCAGTGCTGTATTCCCAGCATCTAGAACAAAGCTTGGCACACAGTAGTTTCTCAAATATCTGCTAAACTGAATTCTCACCAGGGGACCCTGCCCTAGGCAAGGCCCCTCACACTGAGAAGGGCCGATAAGTTTAGGACCACAGGACAGAGGCAGTCCTAGCAGAGGGCCAAGAAAAAGGCTATGCCCCAGCCTGCCCTGTCAGGCTCATTCCAGTGTCCTACTCTGTACCTCCTTCACCTTGAAAGGTTGGAAGGGTCTGGCTGATTGGGGGCCTCACCAGAGCAAGTTTCAGAGTTCTGGGGGACAGCCCCCTTTTTACCAGAAGAGGACTTTTTGGCCGCCAGGCCATTGTCATCCTTGATCTTCTTGAGCCGGGCCTTGCTCTTTGGTGGTATGGAGAAGGTGAGAGAGCTCTTGTTGAACTCAAGTGGGAAGACGCCTACGTCTCCATCAAAACGGTTCTTGGACACCTGCAGGTATCGTTTCCCCGGCCCCGTTACCAGCTTCCTGTCCTGCAGGATCAGAACATTGTCCGCTTCCTGGCTTGCCTAAGGGACAGAGAGCAGAGGAAGGAGGAGCAGTGAGAAGACATATGAGGGAAGCAGAAAGGAAGGCTGAACGTGTAGGAAGAAGTGGCAAGAATGGGAAAAGGGAAAAGTACTTTCCCTTTTCATCAAAGCTTTTTGAACTATTGACCATGATACTGGCCACTTGAGTTTTTCAGTTCCTTAGTAATCTTGCTACCATCCCCAGATTTTGTACCTGCTCTGCTGTTCCCTCTGCTTGTAACACTTCTCCTGCACAGCCCATTACCCCACTCAACCCGTTTCTTATCATTGAGGTCTTAGTCTAAATGACCATTCTTGATCCCCATAAATAAAGAAGGCACCACCATCTTCCCACGTCCGTGTTCTTTTCTTCCTCGGCTCCACGTTTGTTTCATTGTAGCACATGGTCTGTGCTCCTCATCCTGTATTCCCTGTGCCCAGCCCAGGCCTGGCATGTAATAGGCATTCAGTATACCTCGGAAGCTCCAGGATTGGGCTGGTCCTGCTGCCCAGAAGGCCCTCCCTTTTAGTTATTAAACACCTACTATTGGCCAAAAGTCAACCCAACCTTTACTGACACCTCCTCTAGAAAGTCTCCCCAGATACCCCAGGATGACTCAGATGTCTTTTCTCTTTGTTTCCCAAGTACCTGTACTACCTATCATAGCTTTTGTCACACTGAGTTGTAATCACTGTCTCACTGTTTTCCCCACTAGATGATGTGAGCTTCTGGAGTAAGAAGGGCAAAGGACCAACAATTATTCGCCTTTATATTCCTCATGTCATGGTCCCAGCTGCCTCTTCCGGATGAAGTCCAGATGATTTAAGGCTGACTGAGTATGCCTGGTCACATGTGCCCCCTCTCCTTTCCAAAGCTTAGGCTCCTCTAAAGGTCACTTACTTTGGCTGAACCAAAAATGGATGCTGTCTGCAGTTCCTTATCATCATCCTCCTTCCGGGGATGAATGACCAGTGTCACATGGCAGCAACTGTCTGTCGCAAACTTCCGAAAAGCCCCAACGATGTAGTCTTGAGCTGCAATCCTGCACCCACCCAAACAAAGCAAAGAGGTTATCAGATATCGACAGGACAAGAATATACACATACTCTAGATTCATTCATATTTCCACAAAGCACCCCAACGCCACTCCACCTTTCCTTACCCTCGCACTCACACTTAGGTCCCTGTCCATACTTTGTCTGCACACGTGTCAGAAAACAAGAGTACAGTGTGTGTGCCTAGGGGCCAGCTGCCCAAGAAGACATGTGTGTTCAAGTGGGTTCCAGATAGACAAAAGGATGTCACCTGTCTGTGGACAGCTGCTCGTGACCCATCATGAACTGCAGATTGTCGATGACTACATGACAGATGTCATAGACATAGACTGCATGCTGCATTGTGTCTATGACAGTCCTGGGGAGAAGAAAAGGCAATGAATTCAAGAGTCAATTACAAGTAGTCTCCCATCCAACCCAGGCAGAGAGCCAGCATTCTGAAAACCCCAGGGCCTGTTCTCCTGCTCTCCCATTCTTTGAAAACCCCAGGCCTGGGAATCTTACCTGATGCTCTGTTGCCCATGGAAAGTCATAAAATAGAGGGGCAGGTCCTCGAAGCGGTCGGCCCACTCATCGTATTTGTCCAGTTGCTCTTCCAGCCGCCCCAAAGCGAACTGTGTTAGCATGATCCGAGCTAATCTCACGTTGCTGATCTCAAAGCTACCCCATAGCGTGTTCACTCCCTGGGTACATAAATCCAGGGCATACTCACTGATGAATGTCGTCTTCCCACTGCCTGTGGGCCCTGCAGGGGGGTTGAACACAGACTTGGGTGAGGGAGAGAAGTCCCACCCTTGAAACCAAGACATGGAGCAGGGCCTCCAAGTTGAGAGGAAAAGGCTCCTCAACATTTACAGCAGTCCAAACCCACATGTCACCTGACCCCCTGCCACCACCCAAGCAGTGACTTCCCAAAGGGTAACCTGTAAAGACTGTCAGCTCGCCCTTCCGATGTCCCTTCAAGAGACGAGTGAGGTCTGGGAAGCGGCTCCAGCGAACGCCAGCCACCTGCTCCACGTTGGACAGCTCTCCTAGCACCTCCTCCCGGAGTTGCCGGAAAGACACAATAGACTTGTGCCAAGCGGGCAGGGCAGAACGCAGAATCCGAGAAAGATTTAAGCCTCGGTTTAGGGCCTCCAGGGGACGGGGATGCTGGTCCCCAGGCCGCACCAAGGAGCACCGCTTGGGGTTCAGTTTTCGGGCAAACAACTTGGCAGCTTCCCAGGACCGAAGGTCATCTCCAAGCCAGAGCACGATCCGTCGGAACTGTTCGAGGTAAGGGAGTAAGGCGGGAGGCAAGCAGGCTGTTCCTCGGGGAAGGGCCAGGGTGGGCAGCCCTGTGGATTGGTTCAAGGCCAGGCAGTCCAGCTCACGACTCGTCAGCACCACCTCCACATCTCGACGGCCGATCAGCGGCAACCCAAACAGATTGTGGTAGGCACCCGGCCGAGGGATGGTGGTCTCCACATAGCGCACCCCGTCCCCTTGGCCTTCCGCCCCCAGGAGCTTTAGGCCTCGCAATCCCAATCCGCCAGGGGAGAACCAAGGGAAGACAAGGCTTCGGGCGGGCCGCAGATACCGCACACTGAAACGCTTGAGGGTGTCGTCCGTCACTTGGGTAAGGCCAAACATCACCCGAGCCAGCTTCGCCTCCTCCGCATCAGGCAGTTCCCAGAGAGGTAGCGCTCGGTCCCAGATCCTCCGGATCTCCTCACTGTCCTCCGCTCCCGGGCCTTCCCCGAGCAGGATTCCCTCTCTGTCTCCGTCCCCACGCCCTTCCACGCTGGCCTGGAAGTCTTCCCAGCTCCCCTCCGCGAGGCTGGTCATGCAGAGGAAGCGGCCGGTGGTCTTGTTAATGAAGAGGCTGAAGGAGGTGGCGGCGCCGGCCTGCTCCTTGAGCTGCGCGGCTCCCAGAAAGGGGCTGGGTGCCCGCAGGCAGCTGTGGCCGTCCTGGAAGGGGATCCCATGCGCCCGCAAATACTGGCGGATTTCAGTTGCAGTCACGGGCAACACGGGCGCCTCCGGGGCTGGCAGAGCCTCCTTCCTGTACCGCCTTCGAGGAGAACCTGGGACCAAGCTCCGAGGCAGGCCCCTCCAGCCCATCCACTTCCCGCGCAGGGACAGCAGGAGCCGGAGGGGGGACACGCTTCGGAGAAGGACCCACATTCCTAGTCAAACGGAGGAAGCCCCTACTTCAAAAATGTCTGAGGTGCCTGGTCCAGGTATCTTCAGTCATCAGAGCCTAAGGGCTCCCTCTGGGTGGCTTCTCCGTTTCTTCACACTTCTCCCTCACACACACCTCTCTGGATGCTCTTGGGCCCCTCTACATTGCTGCTTCTCCCCAAGGCCATCTGCACGATCCTTTCCCGTCTCGGTCCCTGTCTGGCTCCTTTACAGCTTCTCCCATCGCAGCCCCTCACCGACTGTGGTTTCTCCAGATCTGGTCTCCGCCACTCCTGCCCTCCACAGGGTCTCTGCGTCGCCCTCGTGTCCACAGCCCTCTGCGTCCTTTCGGGGGCCCCTCAGCTCTGGATCCCCAAGTAGTGGCTCTCTCCGCGGCTCCTTCCCTCGGAGGGAACAATACGACCAGGGCGCCGCCGAGCGGCCCCCGCCCCTCTCCGCCCCCCACGCGTGTCCTCCCTCCGGTTCACCCGCGGGGACCTCCGCGCTCCGACCCCGGGCGAGTGACCGGGTTAGCACGCTCGGCCCATGACTTTCGCTCGCAACGTGGGTCACTCGCACGCGCCACCCGCCAGGACCTCGGAATCAAAACTCCCCGGGAGCTCGCGCCCCCGGAACCGGAAGCCCAGGTGAGCCCCGCCCCCTCTCGTCCAGTCGGGGCACGGCGGGCCGCCCGGCGCGCGCAGCAGGCATGACGGCGCGCGGGACCCCGAGCCGCTTCCTGACCAGCGTGCTGCACAACGGGCTGGGCCGCTACGTGCAGCAGCTGCAGCGCCTGAGCTTCAGCCTCAGCCGCGACGCGCCCTCGTCCCGCGGCGCCCGGTGAGCCTGCGAGGGACGCGGGGAGGAGGGGGGCGACTCCCGGCGGAGGCCGCCCGGGTCAGGGGTCACCGTGCTCCCTCTTTCCGGTTTTCTCAGGGAGTTCGTGGAACGGGAGGTGGCCGACTTCGCCCGACAGAACCCGGGGGTCGTCATCTACGTGAACGCGCGGCCGTGTCATGTGCCCAGAGTCGTGGCCGAATACCGTGAGTGGGCCGCGCGGGGGCTGGGGGCGGCCTGCGGGGCAGCGGGGCGGAGCGGGCGGGCCCGTTTCCTTCCCCTCGTCCGAGCTCGGACCGGCCCGCCGCCTCTCACCCCGCCTCCCTTCTGCCAGTGAACGGGGCTGTGCGCGAGGAGAGCCTCAACGCCAAGTCGGTGGAGGAGATCACGGCGCTGGTGAAGAAGCTAGCGAGCCAGTCGGGCTTGGACATAATCCGCATCCGCAAACCCTTCCACACGGACAGCCCCAGCATCCAGGGCCAGTGGCACCCGTTCACCAACAAGCCCACGACGCAGGGCGGGCTGCGCCCCGGAGAGGCCCAGGATCCTGCCCCGGCCCAGGTGCAAGCGCAGTGAAGAGTTGCCTGGGTCTCAGTGAAGGTGGTTGGTTCCTCCTCGTTTGGTTCAGGGGGTTACAGCCCAGACAGACAGATAGAGCCCACGAAAGAGAAAGTTGATGCCAAAACTTCTGCTTGGGACCAAGAGCTACCTGTTTCTTTTTGGTGCCCACTGAGGGGCAGTGACTTTGTGTCTCAATTATCCAGTTCACATTTCAGAAACCTGGGAGTCTTCTAGGCTCCTCCTGGACCCTCCTTTTGGAAATCCAAATTGATAATCATGATCTCAAGTCACAGTGAGGGATGTCAAGGCTGGCTTCTGAAGACTCTCTGATGTCCTATTTCTGCATCCACTGAGCTAGAGAGAGCTAGCACCTTCTCTGCTGTGAACCTGGCTCTGGGCTAGGCTGTATGTATGACTGTGTATCCATTACAAACCTGAGATTAATAAACCTGCCCACAGTCACACCTGTCTTACTTCAACATATTTTAAGTATATATTTTAAGCACAACCCCACTTTTCATTATCATAAAACCAGAATTGGGGCATATAATAACTTTTCGGGATGCTTAATATCAAAGGCCATGTAATTAATCTAGGCCTGACCCTTGGAGAGAGTGATTCTCAGGGTCACTGGTAAATGGGGAGCATCTTGTAGGTGTTTAGCTAAAAAGTGGGGAAGATGGTGAGGATAAGAGGTAGAAGGTAAAAACCTTTGAAACCTTTGTATGAATTCTTGAATCACTCTACTTTTGTCATGCCCTTAATGCCATGGTCAATTACTAGTGAGAGTCTTAGCAAAGGGCAGCCAGGATGGAAGCTGAGGACCCCATTTCCTCTGCAGATGGTTTTGTGGGGAGCAGACCCAACCCTGCTGCACTTCTCCATAGACTCAGAAGCCTGTCCCCTGGTGACCAGAGGAAGGCCAGTTGAGACCAAGCAGACTACTCATAGTAGTGGGGAAAAGAGGGTATTTATTAACCAACAGGGGGTGGAGGAGCGGAGTCCAGGCTCCCCACTGTCACATGCCCATTCCACCCACCTGGGGGGAGGGGGAATCGGGGACATTCCTAAAGAGTATAACCATCTCACAATAAATACATTCATTGTGGGGGAGAGGTGGGAGAGGATGGGTGAAGGGCAGTAAAAATCCGTGTGATTCCACGTTCTCGGCTACAAAAATAACAGTCATCCTCACCCAAGGGGATGGGGGAGCTCAGGATTTGATTGTCCCGTTTGGGCCTGGAGACTAAAGAGGCCACTGGACCCTAAAAGTGCCCCGGTGAGGTAGGACAGGGGTGGAGCCAAGCATCCAAACTCCCAGCCTCTGCCCTTTGCATAGTTCCAGGAACAGGCGTCATGTGCCAGGTGAGTTATCAGATCTTGCTTCCTCCTGCTCTGATCTAGGGATCGCAAATGCTCGGTCCCCAAAAGGGAGGCTGGCTCATTGAGTGCAGTGTGGCTGCTTGTCCTAGGGCAGCTACACCAGAGAGGGCTCTCTCTTTGAAATGTCCAGGGACCAAACCTGATGACAGGCCTGAGGCAGCAAGAGGAGGCTCAGAAGGTGCATGTGAGTGGAAATGTCAGCATGTGTATGTGAGGGACATGCCTAGAACTCTGCCTCTGTCGCTCTTGAGAGTGACTAAGGGCGTGGGGGGAAAAGGGGAGGGCTGAGGCATAAGGGCTGCACATGAAGGGAGGAGAATGATGCAGTCTTACCTCCCTGCGCTGGCCTGTTCCCAAGTTCTTGACAGAGGTCACCGTAGGGGGCCGGGACTAGGGAAGAGGACTCGATAGGATGGGATGTGGCAATTGGGAGGGAACCCAAAGCCCAGAAAAAGGGATGAAGTAAATGCACCAGAAGGTGGGGGCGGGGTGGGGGCCTGCAGCCCAGCTGGTAGACATTCTTCCATGTGTGCATGTGAATGTACGTAGGGCTCAAGTGGCTCTTTTGGCTACAGAGGTCTCGTCTGGTGTCAGGACCATCCAGCACAGGGGCCATGCAGAGGACGGTGACATTGAGGCCATCTGGACCTGCACGCCCTGCCTGAGAGAGAGAGGAAGGATTTGAGCAGAGGGATGGGGGCCTCTCCTCCCACGTGCTCAGGTTAAAGGAAGAGGACCTGGGGCTGAAGAACCTGAGGGAGCACCTACCTCTGAGGAGAACCAGTTGGCCTGGGCTGCTCACGGATGGGTCTGAGGCTGAGGGGACTTTGGCTGGGCCTGGCTCTGGCCAGCCCTGTAGGGACATCAAAAGTTAGAAGAGTCTGGAGGTGGGGGTGGGGGGCGGTGAGGGCAGGGCCGTGTTGGAAGGCAGCAGCCCAGCCTGGGCAGACGGGCTGGTGGGGAGCGCATCTGTCCTGGGGCGCTGGGCTCAGACCGAGCTCTCATCCAGGTGCTCCACGAGCTGTGTGTGCTTCCTCTTCTCCAGAATGCGGCTGAGCTCCTCGGCGAAGGAGCAGGGCCCTGCGGGCGCCCCGTTGTTGTTCTGCCTCAGGAGCATGTAGCTGTTGCCATTCATCCTGCGCAGCCGGCTGGGCAGTGCCACCAGCCCATTGGTCAGCTCGGCTGGCGGGGGCGGCGGGGGCGGAGGAGGTGGGGCTGGGGCTCCTTCCCCTGGGATGATTTGGAGACAGCCACTCTCCAGGCCGCCAGCCCCTTCCCCATCGTCACCCTCATCTTCCTCTCCTGGACACTGGCCGGAGACTGTCTGCAGCTGCACGGCAGAGCCCCCCGCCCTGCCAGCCCGAGCCAGTGAGTATTTCCGCCGGTGCCCTCGTCTGCCGCCCCGGAGACAGGCCACGTAGAGGAGGGAGGAAGCCAGGATGAGGCAGAGGCCGCCAAGGGCAGCGATGGCCAGCACATAGAGCAGCCTCACATCAGATGCCAACTGTGCCCCGGGCAAGGCAGGGGCTTGTGGAGCCGGGGCAGGAGTGGCAGGCCGTACCACGAGGCTGTAGGAGGTCAGCAGGGTGCGGAGGCCATTCTCCTCGGCGAAGCACTCGTAGCTGCCGCTGTGCTCAGGCTGTGTGTCTGTCACCAGCAGCCCATCCACACCTACACGGTAGCCACCCTGCCCATCACTCAGGCCCACGCTCCCATTGAGCCGCCACGAGGCCCGGGCCAGGTTGGACGGCTGGTCACAGGGCAGGAGGACGTCATCACCCCGGAGCACAGTGCGTGTCTTCATTGGAGGTGGGGGCGGCCCTGGGGAGAGCAGGGGACAGGAGGAGCAGTCAATGCCTGCCCATCCTAGGGAAGGCACTGGAGATGGCAAGCCAGATGGCTCACTGCTAGGTCCCCAGCACCAAGCATAGAATCTGGAATCACAGTGACAACTGGCCAAGCTCCGCATTTTTGCTCACACAGAAGGCACACATTGGCCCTTCCCTGTGGTTTCAATTCCTGCCGTCTGCTGGTGACGCCTCATCTCTACCTCCTGCACCGAGTTCTCTCCTGGGCACCAGACTTCACTGTCTCCCACCTGCTGGGCAACCACTTGAGTCTCTTGTACACGTCACAGGAGCTAAGGCTAAAGCCTCTGTCTCAAACTACACCAAATCTTTTCCTCCAATTGCTATCACTGTGCGTATCATTACCAGCTACCCACATGCTTCCCTCAGAAACCTGGGAGTCACCCTTGCCTCTCCCCTGCCTCCACCCCCTCCCCTCACCTTTGTATAACTCTCACCCAAGATCCTGCTTATGGAATCTATCCCAGACCTTGTCACTCCTCTCCTTTCCCATCTGCTGGCCCACTCTGGTCCCCATCTAACCTAAGCAGCAGGGGGGTGACCTTTTAAAAACATTCAACTGGTCATATCACTCCCCTGTCTTAGCATGGTCCCTCCCCACTTCTCCAGCCTCTTGTTGCTCAAACACACCAAGCTCACTCTGGCTAGTGTTCCCTCTACTTGGGTGCCATCCCTCTCTCAGTGGCCCCCACTTGCCTGGTTAACTTAGGGGGAGAGCATTGCAGTGATCAAAAGCACAGACTTCAGTCTGACTGTTGGGCACAGGTTCAAATTCTGACCCTGCCGCTTAGTACCTGATTGACTTCGGTCGGTTTACTTATTCTCCCTGTGCCTCAGAGAGGCTGTCCCTTTGGGGGAATGATGATGATAATAGCACCTCTCTACAGGAACGCTGAGAGAATAAATGGGATTGTGTATGTGAATGCCCCGCACATAGTAAGTACTCGGTACGTATTAGCTATGATTGTTAACTTTTGTTCTTCATATATCATCTCAGTCATCTGATCCTTCTTGGGGAAGTACCCATTATCCTTCAAACCCTTGTCATTGCTGTAATTATTTCTTTTGTAACAAAAACCAGTGGAAATACTTGTAATTAATTGTGTGATTGCCAGTCCCTCCTCCCTCCACTTGGCTGTAAGCTCCGGAAGTGAGTATGTTTCCTCATTTATAATTCTTTTGGGCAACAAATGCTTGTTGAGCACTTACTCTGTGCCTGAATCCGAAAGCACACAGACTCATCCATTCAGATACATACATGTCCATACATACAAGTTGTGTAAATGGTGAGGGGGACAGCGAGACCCACACACACACACGCACGAACATCACGTACCTGTGTCCCTGTTGCCTTCACAGCCTCGGTTTCCTCTCTCTATATCCTGTATCAGTGCTGTCCTGGAGACAGAAGACCAGGACTCATGAACAAGGGAACTGGGGCTTCGGGTCCCCCAGTGGAGGGGTCAATAGGCTGTTACCAAGAACTGGTTCCCACTCACCCTACAGCTGGCAGGCCTGCCTGTTCCCCTCAGGTTCTGAGTCCCCAGGTACATGGGACCCTTGCATCCCCTGCCACTTCCCGCCTGCTACCCTGAGACCTGTTCGCCGTGGCGGTGGTGGTCTCCATGCAGGCATGAGTGCTGGGGTCCCAGCCGCAGCAAGGGTCCCGGGCCAGGATGCAGTCGTAGCAAGAGCGATAGCGGGAACAGCTGGACAGTGGCAGTTGGATGACTCCACTAGGAGCCCCCACATAGAGGCTATGCTGAGAGCCAGAGAGGACAGCTAGTCAGCAACAACCCCACTCTCACAGACACGTACACAGCCAATGCCCAGCCTCCCCAACCCCCCTATTCTGGCAAGACCGCTTTGAGGGTCACGAGTCAGAGGTTACCTGCTTCGGAGAGATGACCAGATTCTCCACAGATTGGGGCTTCTTGAACACTTGTGTCTCTTCGATAATGTGCATCCCAGAGCCCAGGACCACAGCCTTGTGGATCCAGCCATCAGCTGGGATGAAAAGGGCAGGTCAGATCCCAGCAATGGAATCTGCTCTCGGCCCCCTGCAGTAGCCTAATGGGACCAGCTCGGGAGTCATGAGGTCAGCGACAGGATGCGGCCAGTAGCAGTGGGCCCTCAGGACATTGGGAACTCTGGGCTTGTCATGGCAGGAATTGAGTTAAGAAGCATTAGTGATCAGGGTCAAATGTCATT